TTTATAAAAAATTTTACCAAACACTTTTAACTTCTCAAAAACAACCCTTTCACAACAAATTCCATCTAACAGAACTCCTATGAACTTCTATTAAAAAGACCAGCCACACCAAACAGGCTAGTATCATAAAAAACTAGAGCTTTCTTGTTACACTCCAACACAATCTTCCCGTTCTTCAGGACACATAAAACTGTTATAAATCTTCCCACCCAGCTCGAAGCAAAATCTTCGATCACCATTCCAAGAGGAGCATTGTGACACTTGTTACACTCCGACACAATTTCCCCGTTCTTCAGAACTGCTTTTCGAGAAGAAGGCAGATAATAGTCAGGTGGGTCTCATTGCCATACAACAGCGGTCATCCATGATGATGTAAATAACACAACTGTTACTGATGCATTGATGATCAAAGATTCAACACAAACTAAAAACTGGTAGTCTTCTTACAGAAAAAGGGTTGATTCAAGAGAGAGAGTTAAAGTTGCAAATTCATGGTTGCCTTTGCTGAGAAAAGAGAAGGTAGAAAAGGAAGTGCCTGGAACAAATTTGGTAACCCACTCATTTGAAGAGTCTTGAATCTGTTTTCCACAGGATCATAAGAAACCAGAGAACTGTCTTCCTTCTTCAACAGAATCTCACCATTCTTCAGTGCACATATAACTGTGAAAAAGTTTGGCCATCCACGTCGAAAACAGGGATCAAAGGAGAATTGTTTTACCCAAGATTCCTTAACATCGTATTTCTTCATCACCCAGATATCAAAATGCACAGCATCGACAAACCCAGCAGCCGATAGACACCCATTGAGCACCGAAAGACTGTACTCACGCGACACAAGTTGTGGACAAGGTGGGTGCGGAATTTCTTCGAACACCTCATCTGCAAGCTCGAAGGAGATAATACCAAAGATAGAACCATCTCCATCCATCCCAACATCAGTCACCCAATGGAGAGATCCTTCAACTAGAGCCTCAGGTGGTCCAATTTCATCCGTCAATTGTGGAGGCGGAGCTCCTTGGTTTCTCCACTCTGTTTTTCCTACTGTAAACACCTGAACCATTGATTCATCATCCACTTCTTCCACATCTAGCGCCGGGTCTACTACCGCCATGATCTTCTCGTACCACACAATCCTGACCACTTTGAATTGTCCTGTCCTCGGATGAAACCCAAATCCAAAAACTTCAAGTTGATTCAGAAATCGGTTCGCTGGTGGGACTCTCACAGCGTCTCCAACAAAAGGATTGTAAATTAGCAGACTGTGAGACACCGATGAACCACCGATTATGCGAAAGGATAAGCATAAAAGCCCTTTACAAGAACCCACCAGGTTATTAACTTCTGAATGCTGTGGTGGGTCCATTTTCCTAACCCTTCTACTGCAACCCTCACTATCCACAAGATAGAGTTACCGGGACGGGGATAAAGGTAACCTGTAGTTTGACAAAATCAGACATGGGCTTGAGTCGCTTACCTGGTTGCGGAACATCGGAGGGAGTCTTGGATCGGTAATTAAATCATAGCCGGCATGGGAAGTGGTCTTGAAGTGGATCAGAGAGGTGATCGGGAGTCTTGATAGGATTTCGAGCAGAATCTCCCGTGGGAGAAGATGAAGATCCATCTGGACCATCGCTCCGTTGGAAGGATCATCTGCAAGGTTAACTCTTGCCTTCTCTCTTCCGTCTTCCGGATCCATGTTTATGCAGATAGAAAGGAAACGCGAATGATGGTAAACGTCGCCGGCGTCTTATACAGCGTCGAAACTTCACTTTATTGTGTTAGAGCCAAATCTTCGTCCCTTCACTTTTTAATTTTGTTTGTTTCCATCATCTTAATAAGGAATTGATTAAGATGGTCATTCTACCAGAAATGATTATACATATAAAGACATGATTTTTTTTTTTATTAGGGCAAGTGATTCGGGAGAGGGACTGGGGAGCAGACTCGAATCTTTATTATGGTGCAGAAAGCTTACATAAGTTACTGGATTACTAAGTTAGTAGGTCTTTTTTGATTTTTTTTTTATTTAAGAATGCAAATATTATAAATTTTTAAATAAAATGGTAACTTGTTAACTTTTAATTTAAAAATACTAACTTTATATTTTTTTTGCATTTATAGATTAATTAAATAGTAATACTAATGGGATTAATAACTTGTTTAACCATCTAATTAATCTTTTATTTAACAACTAACTTACCATCAACCATTCTTTGAGGTAAAAAAAATTGCAATTGTACTTAATGATACAAACAAAATTAAAATTGGTTGGTTTAAGTACCATTTTGGTCCCTCAACTTTACACTTTGGTACCAAAATTGTCCCTCATCTTTAAAAAGTACCAAAATTATCCTTAAACTTTCATTTTTGTACCAAAATGGTCCTTCCATCAGTTAAATGACAGGTGTCACGTTAACTTGCCAGCAAAATCACTGTTTTTTTTTAATTTTAATGATGTGTAAATCCAACGAACAAAATTTTGCTACGGTGGCATGTTTTTTCCACGTCAAATTGCTCTCCCTTTTCAGATTCAATTTTTGTGGGGCCCACATGAAAAGTTTTCCTTTTCCAGTTTCAGTTGAGTTCCCGAAGGCCAAACAAAATCAAAGAAAGCAAAATTTTCTCAGCAACCAAACAAAAACAAACAAAGCAAAATTTTCTCAGCAACCAAACAAAAACAAAAAGGGATCAGAAATACTTTCTCAGCAACCAAACAAAGCAAGAAGTTAAAGAAACAGAGCAAAGCACAATTTCTGGAAGAAATACTAGGGTTTGTTCCGCGAGGAACCCAGAAACTGGGTTCTTCAAGGGTTCCTCGCGAAACCCAGAACCTAGGTTCTTCGAGGAACCCAGGAACCCAGAACCTAGGTTCTTCGAGGAACCCAGGAACCCAGAACTGGGTTCCTGGGTTCCTCACGAAACCCAGAACTGGGTTCACACAAAGGTGACTCCTGCTTCTGTTGCGCAAGAATTGTTGAGGTCAACGACGGCGAAGACGATGACGACGACGAAGACGACGACGACGGCGAAGATGACGACGACGGCGAAGACGACGACGACGACGAAGACGACGGAGAAGACGACAATGCAGCAGCAAAGAAGAGAAAATAATCTAAAACCACGAAGTACCAAGGTTGCCTTCGGTCGAGCGATCCAGCGGGACACCCTTCTATCTACCCATCTAGAGGTTGCATCCAGACTCCAGGACGCCGAGGCGAGAAACCGTGCAGGCGAAGACCAGATCTGGGCGACGGCCGCCAGATCTGGGAATTCCAGCGTGCAACTCGGTAGATTTGCGTGAGGGAGCAAGGAGCCGCGAGACCTGCAGGCAAGCGGGCAACACACAGAAACAGGAAACAAAGAAAACAAACAGAAGACAACCTCATGGGGTCATCGGAGCAGGGAGCAGGCCGGCTCCATCAGGCTTGAGCAGCCGGAGAACCCGGCGGTTCAAGCAGCAAAACTTGGAAGCCCAAGGCTTCTGAGCACAAAAACAACATGCCGAAGAAGACGATCAGAAGCAGGAGAACCCAGATCTGGGTTTGATCGAGAGGAAGAAGAAGAGGGGAAGAGAGGAGATAGAGAAAGAATAAGAAAAGTTAAAAAAGTGTCACGTGGGCCCCATTAAAAGGGAAAGTTTAAAAGGTGATAATATGATGTGTAAAAAAATATGCCACCGTAGCAAAATTTTGTTTGCTAGATTTACACATCATTAAAATTCAAAAAAAGCAGTGATTTTGCTGGCAAGTTAATGTGACACCTGTCATTTAACTGACAGAAGGACCATTTTGGTACCAAAAATGAAAGTTTAAGGATAATTTTGGTACTTTTTAAAGGTGAGGGACAATTTTGGTACCAAAGTGTAAAGTTGAGGGACCAAAATGGTACTTAAACCAAATTGGTTAAACGAGCATTTGTTTTCTAAATGTTTTGGAGGAATGTAGACTTAGTATGCATTAACAATTCTCCTAAAAAATCAAGTGAATACTAACAAGAGCTTGGTCGAATTCCATGAGGATGTGATTTTGTTATTGCCTACAATTGAACCTAGGACTTGGAAATAAAGAACAAGACGCAATGTATACATACAGAAAGCGAAAGTGGAGCAAAAGATCTGGATATACATATTTGTATTGATGAGTTTGTACAAACATTAACATACTTACAATGTAGGAATGGAGAAGAGATTTGGA